TCCTCTGATGCTGCTTGGCCTGCTGTGTTCATCCAGCTCTACACCTTGTTATCTCACTTCCTCCTGCATTACGTTGCCCTGCTTAAGAGTATTCACGTATCTTTCCGTAACCTCAATATCCCTTGCGCCCCTCTTTTTGGTGAATGCTAACGTAAAGTATTAATTAAGGATCTCACCCATTTCCGCTGATTTCACACACAACCTCCCTCCTTCATCCTTGAGTGGGCCTACTCTTTCCCTAGCTACCCTCTTGCTCCTGATATATGTATAAAATGCCTTGGAATTCTCCTTAACTCTGACTTAGGATATTTCATAACCCATTTTAGCCCTCCTAGCTCCTGGTTTGAAGTCCTTTCCACTTTCTCTATATTCTTCAAGGACTTTGTCTGTTTTTAGCTGCCTAGACCTTAAGAATGCTTCCTTTTTTTATGAACGAAGCTGATAATTTCCACTGTCATCCCAGGTTCCCAAATGTGCCATTCCTGTCCTTCATTTTCACAGGAACGTGCCTGTCCTGCATTCTAATCAACTGGTTTTTAAAAGACTCCCACATGTAAGTTGTGATTTACCCTCCATCAGCCACTCCCAATCCACATTCTCCAATTTTTGCATAATTTGGTTATAATTGGCCTTCCCCCCCCCCCCCCCAATTTAACACCTTCATCCAAGATCCACTCTTGGCTTATCCATAAATATCCAAAAACTTACAGAATTATGATCTCTATTTCCAAAATGCTTCCCTCACTGAAACTTTGATCACCTGACCGGGCTAATTTCCCAATACCAGGTCCAGTATGGCTCCCTCCCTCGTTGGACTATCCACGTACTGTTTCAAAAAACCCTCCTGACCTTTAGCCTCTAGAAATCCAGTTCTTTTATAAACCTATTCAGTGACTTTGCTTCCACAGCTTTCAGTTGTAGAGAATCCCATAGGTTCACCATTGTCTGAGTGAAGAAATTTCTCCTCATCTCAGTCCAAAATGGCCTCCTGTGTATCATAACAACTTGTTCTGGAGCCCTTTGCCAGGAGAAACAGCATCCAATCTGTCCAGCCCTTTCAGTATTTTTATACTTTTCAGTGGGATCACCTGTATGCTCCAGTGAGCACAGGCCCAGTTGACCCAACAATCCCAGGAATCAGCCTTGTCAACATTCATTGCACTCCCTCTGTCAACAAAATACATGTTTTCTTTGGTAAGGAGATTAAAAACTACACACAACATCTAAGTATGGTCTCACCAAAGCTATAAAACTTCTTTGCTCCTATTTTCAAGCCATTTTCCAAACAATGCCAATGTACCATTTGCCTTCATAATTGCCTACTGCACCTGTATGCTTTCTTTCAGAGGCTAATGTACAAGAACACCAAAATCCCATTGTACATCAACATTTCTCAACCTATTACCATTTGAATACCTAGCTATTCTGGTCTTCATCCTGAAGTAGGCGACTTCTCACTTATCCACGTTATTATTCTGTATATGCCATGCATTTGCCTGCTATCTAACTTATCTAACTCACTCTAAAGCCTATTTATATCTTTCTCATTGCTCTCAATCCCTAGTTTTGTGTCATCAGCAAACTTGGAAATATTACATTTGACTCATCCAAATTATTGATATACGTACTGTGAACAGTTGCATTAATCTCTGTGGTATCCCATTTTTCATCATTTTCTTGAAACTGCCATGTCCATTTTATACCATCCCAACTTCAGCTTTGCATTTATACTGATGCATACTAATTTATGGCTATAAACAAAGCTACTTCTACTCTATGTACCTTTTAAGAAGAGACTTTAAGTAAGAATACCGCAGTTTATTTTATATTTGATTAAACTAAAATAGCACTTTCTTCAAAAGTGCCTTGGTTTGTTAATATCCATCTCAACTGGTGACTCTTAAGAATCTTATTTTTCACAACTTTTAAATTTTTTAAAAAATCATTAATGGGATGAGGGCCTTGCTAGCTAGGCAGCATTTATTGTCCATCCCTAATTGCCCAGAGGGCAGTTAAGAGTCAGTCACATTGCTGTGGGTCTATAGTCACATGTAGGCCAGACCAGGTAAGGATGGCAGTTTGTTTCCCTAAAGGGCATTAGTGAACCAGATGAGTTTTTCCTGACAATCGACAATCGATTGATTCATGGTGATCATTAGATTCTTAATTCCAGATATTTTATTGAATTCAAATTCCACCATTTGCCATGGCGGGATTTGAACCCAGGTCCCCAGAACATTATCTGGGTCTCTGGATTAACAGTCCCGTGATAATACCACTAGGCCATTGTTTCCCTGACACAACACAGTGACTGAGCTGTTTAGATCAACATTGGAACCCCCATCTTTTAAATCACTTAAATGCAAGCCCCACATGCCAACTGATAACTTTTTAATTCGGAGCTGAGAAGCACTGTCAACTGAACTAAGTAGCAGTTTGTGAAGGCCTCGTACAAGGATATCTTCACATTTACCTACGTAAATAAAGAAAAAAAAAACTAATATGTAATTCAATTTGTGAAGTGCCTGAAGATGCTTTGATAAACTGGAAGTATTTTTACTGGATAATAGTGCCTCAGTTTTACTTAATCGAATTTGCCTAATCCAACCTCTTACCTCAAGGCTTGTAAGTGAGAATGACTTGGGGAGCATAATTTGAACTGTATGCGAAATCAGAAGAACTATCAACTTAATCATGTTCACAGACACTGAACACTGAACGTTATGTAATGGGTAATGTTTCCATTACAAACAAAATTTTGGCTCCTTTTAAAATTATGCTGAATGGTTTGCACTGAAAGATAACGACATGCCTAAAGGCAATGGTTACTTTTTTTTTCAAATGTCTATGTTTCTGCATTTGAACAGGAGCAGATTGCAAATTGAGGGGTCCATCTTTTATTTTGTAGCTTTTACTATTGTAAAGGATTATTTTGTGGAAGAAAGGGTCTGCTGATGTCCTGTCAAATCTGTAATATTCTGTTTCTGCAGGTGGTGTGACCAGGATGACTGTATCATTAGTGGTTATAATGTTTGAACTAACAGGCGGACTGGAGTATATTGTACCACTAATGGCTGCTGTAATGACTAGTAAATGGGTGTCTGATGCAATTGGACGTGAGGGCATCTATGAGGCACACATTCGGTTGAATGGCTACCCATTCCTGGAAGCAAAGGAGGAATTTACACACAGAACTTTAGCAATGGATGTAATGAGACCTCGACGCAATGACCCTCCTCTGACCAGCCTCACTCAGGATGGGATGAAGGTAGAAGATGTGGAGACGATCATTAATGAAACAACATACAGTGGATTCCCTGTGATAGTGTCAAAAGAATCCCAGCGACTTGTAGGTTTTGTCCTCAGAAGAGACCTAATAATTTCAATTGGTGAGAGCTTTGAGTTGTATCAAATAATAGAGCATTCTTAGTAAAATAGTGTGTAATAACATTTAAAAGGTAAGATGCTAACTTTGTGATAATTTGCCTGTCACTCTGGCATGAGAGATTGTGGTATTTGGAGAGGGAGAGAAAGTAGTAATATTATAAATTGGGAAAGAGTTGGGAATGATCTTCATCAGCAGTTATATTCACATTTTCCATAATTATTTGTGCAGTATATAGGGTATTTATTTGGGTGTTTTGCATTGCACTCAATATCAAGTATTAATGAAGTATTTATGAGGTAGTAACCTCCACCACAATATTTTGTAGTGTTAGCTAATGATCTGTTTGGGGACTGCCATTCTTGTATTATGAAATATTAATAAGTTTATGAACAGAATCTTACAAAGGTCTGAACAGTGTGGGCTATGGAGAGAAATATTGCAGAATCATGCGAGAAGTCCAGCGAGGCTTATCTTGACATTGGGAGCAACTTACTCCATCTTTTAGCCGAGTTCCAGGCAGCTAGGCAGTAGCGAGTTACCTATTAAGTTGGATTATTGCTTGTTAATGATTTGTGAACTCACCTCATTAATATGCAGCGTCCTATCCTACTTCCCGCCAGATACTAAGAAGTGTTGACATGGAAATCAGAATGGGTACCTGATGACTTCAGCTTACCGCTGGCTGCGAAGTGCCTCCATGTTGCACACCATAGGCACCAGCTGCACACGTCCCTTGGCCATGGACATTGGCATTCAACAATTGCTAACCCCTCAGGATCCTCATGGCACCTTTCCAATCCACTTGCAGAGTTTTTAGGAAACATAGACCTGCTTTGCAGTTGCACCAACAAGTAACATTGAAAGGCTGTTTTGAGGACACTTTGCAGACAGGGCAGGCACCCAGCTCAGAAATTGGACCAGGCTGCATCTCGGGGTTGCTCCCTTGCTCAGTGCATTCCAAATGCTCACAGCATCCCTGCCTTGCCTTGCCTATTAACACAGGCACACAACCAGACACCTTGCTTTGCTGGTCGGCAGTCCTCAGTCAAGGGGGCATAGATCTTACTGCAAGGCCCATGCTCCATAGATTTCACAACTGCACCATGTGCCAGTACCGTACATGACAAACACACTGCATATGCAGAAAGCATACTCCTAAGGGAGTAGTCCTTAGTGAAGTCCATAGAAATAACCCAATCACTCAGGCAATCCTCAAGGGCAGCCTCTCATACCAATCAAGGGAATTGGCCATGGTTAGGATATTCCCAGTAAGGAAGTCTGTGAAGAAAAGTCAAATCAGACTAGAAGCGTTAACTTTTTTCTCCCTCCACAGATGCTACCATATCTCTGAGTTTCTCCAGCATTTTGTGTCTGTTTCAGATTTCCAGCATCTGTGGTATATTGCTTGTATTAAAGAATATGATATTTGACCAAGATGAGCAATGCTGCCAACAGAACACATCTTCATCATGTTTCTACATGCTGCAGCAGGCTCTCAACACAGACATTAATCAATGGTAAATCCTATATGGACATGAAGTGTGGTACAGTTACGTTCTGTGGCCATGGTGCTGGTACCTGCAAGACTCAAGGGAGAGGTGTTATGACCGGTGGTTAGAAGTGGTGTGCAATGAATGACTATGACAATGGGCTGAGTGTGAGAGTTGCAGTGGAATAAAGAATGGTACTGACTCAGTTGGCAGGGCATGTATGTCCTGGCATCCTGCAGGAGCAGTACCAGTCTTCTCCTGTGAGGGACAGAGTTCTCCTCTCTTAGTGTCAGGCGCCTCTCCATAAGTCCTGGCTCTTTGCATCCTGTTATCCTGTACAAGCATTCCAATGCCTTTTACCCACCCTATCCCCATAATCATGTACATCAGTGGTAATTAAAAATCTATAAATCTGTACTTAAGCATGGTCAAAGACTGAGCTTCCACAGCCCTTATGGTAGAGAATTTCAAAGGTTCGTAACACTCTGAGAAAAAAGGGCGGCATGGTGGCTCAGTGGTTATCACTGCTGCCTCACGGCGCTAGGTTCGATTTCAGCTCAGGGTGACTGCCTGTGTGGAGTTGACACATTCTTCCCATGTCTGCGAGGATTTTCTCTGGGTGCTGTAGTTTCCTCCCACAGTGTAAAGATGTGCAGGTTAGGTGGATTGGCCATAGGAAATGCAGGGTTTAGTGATAGGGTGTGGGGTGGGATGGGGAAGTGGCATGCATCTGCATGGGATGCTGTTCAGAAGATTGGTGCGGAATCGATGGGCTGAATGGCCTGCTTCCACATCATTGGGATTCTATGAAAACCATTCATTCATCTTGGATACAAGTGACACCCCTTATTGCTAAATTGTACCTTCTGATTTTAGTCTCTTCGTACAGGAAAAACATTTTACCCGCATCTACTCTATTGGCTGCACCTGCACATTAGCTGTCAGTGACTTATCAACAGGGACATCTAGGTCCCTTTGTACATCTATACTTTAGAGCCTCTTGCCATTTAGGAAATACTCTGCATGTCACTTTCACTTTCTCCTATTAAGTTGGGTAACTTCACATTTTTCCACATTATGTATCATCTGCCATGTACTTGTCCAATCATTAAGTCTGGACAAATCCTCCTGAAGCTGCTTTTTATCTTCCGCACAACACACTTTCTCACTTAGCTTTGTATCCTTCGCATATTGGTCTCCACCTCCAAATCAATGTATTGATCCTTGCGGTATCTCACAAATTACAGCCTGCCAACGTTGTTCTGTCTATTAGCCAATCATTAATCCTTGCCAGTACATTAGCTCCTTTCCCATGTGCTTTATTTTCTGTAACCAGCATCCTGTGGGACAATTTATCAAAAGATTTATGAAAATCTTAAGTATCCTGTGTCCATAGCTCTCTTTTATCAATTTTGTTAATAATATCTTCAAAGAAACCTTAAGTTCTTCAAATATGATTTCCCACTTGTAAGTCCATGCTACATCCATACGTATACTTACCAACCATGAGTCCAATTATCCCATCCTTTTATAGTTGATTCTAGCATTTCCTTCCTCCTAACATAAGGTTAACAGGTCTGTAATTCCCTTTTTTCTCTTTTGTTCCCTTAAACAGTGGGTGGGAGAGAGAGAGAGAGATTGAGGTAAAAGTGATTGGCACAGCTGTGTACAGTGCAGATGATCAAAAGGAAGTGATCTATCCCGGGTAAGTGAGTAGGCAGTGCAGAAACTAAGGAAAGTTAGAGGTGTTGGGGTTGAGGGGGAATGAGAACAAATGCAGGATGATGTTGCATGCAGTAATGAGAGTGGTACAGCATGAGCCTCAGTGGGAGGTGAGTGCATCAGCACAGATAGTGAGTGTGAGGTGGCAGAGGAAAGAAAGTGCCACATACCCAGGTGAGTGGAAAAGATCATCCATCTTCTTGCAGCACTGTTGGCCGTTTCTCTAGACTATAGATTCAGTGCTGACCTGGGTGGCGACCTCGAAGCAGGCTGCCAGAGCTTGGTGCTGTGGCCACCTCTTGCCCCTCCTCCAGGAAGAGGACAGCCGTCTTCTGGACCACACCATCGACCAATTTCCTGATCTCTGACTTTTTTTGGAAAGTTGACATGCAGGGCAGTTATGGAACGCTAGTGCACTTCCAGGTGCACAGAACCTTTTAAGCTGGTCATTCAGCAGATATCCTGTGAGTGGCAAATTCCTCATTTTTTTCTTTATTCATTCACGGGATGAGGGTGTCGCTAGCTAGGCAGCATTTATTGCCCATCCCTAATTGCTCAGAGGGCAGTTAAGAGCCTACCGCATTGCTGTGGGCCTGGACTCGCATGTAGGCCAGGTAAGGATGGCAGTTCCCTAAAGGACATTAGTGAACCAGATGGGTTTTTCCGACAATCGACAGTGGATTCATGGTCATCATTAGACTGTTAATTCCAGATATTTTTATTGAATTCAAATTCCACCATCTATCATGATGGGATTTGAACCCAGGTCCCCAGAGCATTATCTGGGTCTCTGGATTAACAGTCCAGCGATAATACCACTAGGCCATTGTCTCCCCAGGGACAGCAATTCGTGGTATAGGGCTAGAATCAGACAAGAGCATTGCCATAGGGGCAGGGTACGGGTATTTAATAAGGTAGGACAGTGCAGGTGATCTTGATGGCCCTGGCAAAGAGAAATCTTCCATGAAACTCAATAAAACTGGCACTTGTAAGATTCAGCCCTGTGTTTCTTAGCAAAGTATCATGTGTTGCTGAGGTAATGACTTCCTCTTGACTGCAATATAATCTATTAATGAGGTGATGACCGTCCCATTGATTATTCACATTGTCTGCAATCTATAATATTACTATAATGAGAGTATGCTTATTTGTTTTACAAACAGCAATAGTTAAAGTGCCTAAGCAGATGCAAGGCTTATACATAAAATGTGTAGAGTATTTAAACTTTGAAATATTCTGCTAATTTGATTGCAAGTTTGCTGTGCCTTTGCTTTTTGTTATGGAATGAATAAAGGACATTCTTATAATCGGGACATTATAAAGCTAAAACTTGTAGATATCTTGATCGTTGCCTGTCCATATATTTATAATTGCAGTTAATGAGTCAGTGGAGAAAAAAAACAACAGGGGAAGTGACAGCTAATCTGTTTTTCTTTGTCCCGAATTTGCTTACAGAAAATGGAAGGAAGCGGCAAGATGGGATTGTCAGCACTTCTGCTATTTATTTTACTGAACACGCTCCTATGCAGCCTCCAAATAGCCCAGCTGCACTCAAACTGCGCTCCGTCCTAGATTTGAGTCCCTTCACAGTGACTGATCACACTCCCATGGAAATAGTGGTTGACATATTCCGAAAACTAGGCTTAAGACAGTGTCTTGTTACTCACAATGGGTAAGTTTTACATTTGTGTTGTCTCAAGTGGCAAGGCATCCAAACATTCATGCTTTCAAGGCCTGGAAATTCCACCTGCTCACTAACCTGAGATTAAGTATATAATTTGTATGGAACTGCCAAGAATACTTGATAAATTAACCACTCAAAATTAAATGTGAATTTACTTGTATCCTTATTAGCTTGTGCTGAGATGAAATGACATTGAAGGCTATAAATTTCTATAACCATAGTTTGGCTGTGTTGTAAGTAACTGTGAAATATATAGCAGAGCAGACGGAAAATAGCATTCATGAACTGAGCATTTTGTCCTCCATTTCAAATATTCTCTGTCGATTCAAGTAGTTATTCTTTTCCTGAAGAATGTCTTTGAATTTAGATCACTAATAATCTCCAGTGCTCTCAATTGTCAAATTTCTGAAAATAACACTTCTGAAGAGGGCACCAGCTATAGGTTTGAGCTTTCCAAGATATTCGCAGCACTAATGTTTTTTAAAAGATTTTACATTCGGAGAAAATTTGATTATTTTGCAAAATACATAAAACAATACATTTAATTATGAGACAGTAGGAACTGCCGATGCTGGAGAATCTGAGATAACAAGGTGTAGAGCTGGATGAACGCAGCAGGCCGAGCAGGAAAGCTGATGTTTCGGGTCTGGACCCTTCTTCAGAAATGGGGGAGGGGAAGGGGATTCTGAAATAAATTGACATAGAGAGAGGGGGAGGTGGATGGAAGGAGCAGATAGGTGGAGAGGAGACAGACAGGTCAAAGAAGCGGGGATGGAGCCAGTAAAGGTGAGTGTAGGTGGGGAGTTAGTAGGTCAGTCCAGGGAAGACAGACAGGTCAAGGAGGCGGGAGGAGGCTGGTTGGTAGGAGGTGGGGGTGGGGCTGGAGGTGGGAGGAGTGGTTAGGTGGGAGAAAGGACGGATAGGTTAGGGAGGTGGGGACGAGCTGGGCTGGTTTTGGGATGTGGTTGGGGGAGGGGAGATTTTGAAGCTTGTGAAGTCCACATTGATACCATTGGGCTGCAGGGTTGCCAAGTGAAAAAAGAGGTGCTGTTCCTGCAACCTTCAGGTGGCATCGTTGTGGTATTGGAGGAGGCCCAGAAGTAGGAGGGGGAGTTGAAGTGGTTCGCGACTGGGAGGTGCAGTCATTTGTCGCAAACCAAGCGTAGGTGTTCCTCAAAGTGGTCTCCAAACCTCCGCTTGGTTTCCCCAATGTAGAGGAGGCCACATCAGGAGCAGCGGATACTGTATACCACATTTAGTTATGAAGCAGGCATTTGTAACTTACAAACTGAGAAGAACTAGTTACTGATAATACTACACTTTAACTCTTAGCCTGTTGACTAAATAAGGACATGAGTAAAACTAAAGAAGCAAAATTCTCAGGTCCAATCATGAGCTGAGTTACTGAATTAGTTGTTCTGATTTGAGATATGTATTTGTAGAAATGCAATGGTACCCTTAAAGTACTGGCTGCAATGTAGTCTGTGAGCTATTAAAATGGAAAGGATGAAGAAACAGTGGAAGTCTCATCAAAGTGGATCATAAAGGCATTAAGCAAAGTCAGCACTGAAATATACAAGACAGTCCCTGGCTGGAGAAATACATCTACTGAAGTTGTGGCAACCAGTCCAGCTAAAGGCTAACATCACACTGCACCCAAATACTCTTCTAATGGCAAAAAAAGCACTGGCACCAGAAATGAATGACAAAATCAAGGTGAAATGATTTAAAACATCATTGCCATAGCTGAGCATTGAAGAGCCAATCGGACTGTAAATGTTCAATTATCTCATGAAATGTCAGCCCACCTGGCAATTTGAGACCTGTGTAAAGCAGTTGTTACCTCAATCACAAAAGGTGAAAATGAATGACCAGATACATTGTTGCAACTTTAGATATCTAGATGCAACCGGATGTGCTGTATCTTCACTGCAGGTAGCAGATCAGGAAGCAATATCTCCATCTGCACAGGGTACAAAATGTCCATCATTCCCAGAGGTCCACTGTTTCCCAACAGTAGAAATGAATCAGCAACAATGGTTAGCCCAGCAATAGCACTCTCCATTGGAATGACACTCCCTGGTGAAAAAGAATTTCACCTTGGGAATTAGCAAAGAGCACAGATACTAGAGGAACAGCTCATTACAATGACATGTATACCATTAGGAGACCTGCACAATTTAAAGACTATATATGCAATGTATGCACAGAGACTGTTAGAAGTGGAACTGACTAAAGTTAGCACACTGTTTTGTTAATGGCCATTTTCTTTGCGACCACGTATATTGGGTAACTTGTGTAATTTGTATCTGCAAATGATAGTGCAAACAATCTTTTTATTATTTTGTTTTGCTTTATAATAAAAAGAGGATGAACCTTTTGTTGTTAGTGTCCACATATCACTTGAAAAAAAGCACTGAATTAGACATAGTCAAATGAGCCAAATATTTAGCACCTAACTATGATTTTTTGCAAAGTGCAAATGTCTAAAATACTGGTTGAGAACACTTGAGTATGAATATGCTGATAAGTAATTGGATAACTGCTGATAACTTGTATTTGAAGACTGGCCACTTGGGCACAAATCTGTGCATTCCGAAGCTGAAATGATTGCAAAAGTGCATACTTTTTTCAAAGACCTAACTAAAGAATGTTATTTGGCCCAGTTTTTGAATAGACTGTGTTAATGAAATCAAGCATCTGATTTATTGAGGTTTTTTTTGCACAGTCTAACGCAATACATTTTTGTAAAACCAAAGCAGTTTACTTCCCTTTGTTATTTTCTGATGCAGCAGTTTTAACATAATAACTTATAAATTATTTTTCATTGTACAGCACTAACGGTTTTTTTTTTAATTGCAGGCGGCTTCTTGGTATTATCACAAAAAAGGATATATTGAAACATATTGCTCAGATGGCCAACCAAGACCCTGATTCCATTATGTTTAACTAAAATAAAATTTTATTCATCTCAATGGAGATTGCAAAGAGGACAGTTTTATTTCTGGTAATTTGCTCTGACTAATGTCAGCTTTGTACCTTAAGTTCCTCCTGAAGATCGAGAATGGTGTACCTCATGTTCAACGAGTGTCTGACTTCCAATTGCACTACACAATCTACAAAATCTTTTTTCCTACGTTTTTGGATAAGCACTGTGGAACTATAAATCGACCGAATGAAGAACTGTTCTAAGAGTGTACTTCCATCCACAATTTGCATTAAATTCGTTGCAACAGGGGTGTCATTGATTATTGGTGCATTAATTGTTTTGAATTTATAAACAAATAACCTAGATAATTTATTTCATCTTTGGACTTATTTGAAATTAGATTTTCCAACATTATCTGATAATGCAATCAAGTATGAATTCAGCTATTTTGGCACATCCTCCTGTGAATGAATGGTTAATATAAGTAATAATATTGATCGGAGATTTATCAGTTTTTTTCTCTGAAGAACAATAATTGTGTAAGTACTTTTAAAATTGCAATTACTTCCTAATGAAATATTTGATACGTACAATCCACCAGTTGAAGAAGGTTGGCACACCAGTTATGTGAGGTCCCTTGACAGAAAATTTTGTTTTAACTTGATGTTTACAGGACTACCAAATAAAATAATCAAATTCTGCCCAACTTAGTTTAGTTAAATGTAATGTGCAGGGCATTGTGTAAATATGAGAGAATTCAGCTACTTTTTCATCAAATAAACAGTTCAGTGAATAAATGTAGTTGTTTTAAGGGACTGATTTTTTTTATTTTAAAATAACTCCAATCACTCATTGTTGCCTCTACATGCCATCTTTGGAAATCACAGAGGATCAAGCTTTTGTTGTGGCTTGTGACACCCGTGGTTAAAAAGGGAGTAAGGCAAAAGACGTAAAATTACAGGCCAATTGTGGGTAAGATTTTGGAGTCTATTGTAAAGGATGAGATTTCTGAATATTTGGAAGTGTATAGTAAAATAGGGCAAAGTCAGCATGGTTTCGTCAAGGGGAGGTCATGCCTGACAAATCTGCTAGAATTCTTTGAGGAAGTAACGAGCAGGGTAGACCAAGGAGAGTCACTGGATGTTATCTACCTGGACTTCAAGAAGGCCTTTGATGAGGTGCCACACAGGAGGCTGCTGAGTAAGATAAGGGCCCATGGTGTTAGAGGCAAGGTGCTAGCATGGATAGAAGATTGGCTGCCTGGCAGAAAGCAGAGAGTGGGGATAAAAGGGTCTTTCTCAGGATGGCAGCTGGTGACAAGTGGAGTTTTGCAAGGGTTAGTGTTGGGACCACAACTTTTCGCTTTATACATTAATGATCTAGATGAAGGAACTGTGGACATTCTGGCTAAGTTTGCAGACGATACAAAGATAGGTGGAAGGACAAGTAATATTGAGGAGGTGGGGAGGCTGCAGAAGGATTTGGACAGGTTAGGACAGTGGGCAAAGAAATGCCAGATGGAGTACAACATTGGAAAGTGAGAGGTCATGCACTTTGGTAAGAAGAATAAAAGCATGGACTGTTTTCTAAATGGGGAGAAAATTCAGAAGTCTGAAGTGCAAGGAGACTTGGGAGTTCTAGTCCAGGATTCTCTCAAGGTAAACTTGCAGGTTGAGTCAGTAGTTAGGAAGGCAAATGCAATGTTGGTATTTGTTTTGAGAGGACTTGAATTTAAAAGCAGGGATGTACTGCTGAGGCTTTATAAGGCTCTAGCCAAGCCACATTTGGAGTATTGTGTGCAGTTTTGGGCCCCATATCTCAGGAAGGATGTACTGGCCCTGGAACAGGTTCAGAGGAGGTTCACAAAAAGAATGGTCCTAGGAATGGAAAGCTTAACATATGAGGAACATTTGAGGACTCTGGGACTATACTCATTGGAGTGTAGAAGGATGAGGGGCGATCTAATTGAAACTTACAGAATACTGAATGGCCTGGACAGAGTGGATGTTGGGAAGATGCCTTCATTGGTAGGAGAGACTAGGACCTGAGGCCGCAGCCTTAGAGTTAAGGGAAGACCTTTTAGAACAGAGATAAGGAGAAACTTTTTCAGCCAGAGAGTGATGAATCTATGGAGTTCACTGCCACAGAAGGCTGTGAAGGCCAGGTCATTGAGTAAATTTAAGACGGAGATAGATAGGTTATTGATTATCAAGGGGATCAAGGGTTACGGGGAGAAAGCGGGAGAATGGGGTTGAGGAACTTATCAGCCATGATTGAATGGTGGAGCAGACTCGATGGGCAGAATGGCCCAATTTCTGCTCCTATGTCTTATGGTCTTACTTCTAATTCCAAAGTAGTTCTGTTAAATAGAATGGGATGATCGTACCCAGAAGTCCCAGTCCAAGACAATGAAATGTACTAATTGCGTGTTGGTTGTGGATAGTTTCATTGAAATAGTTGATTGCTGCCATATGCAAGCTAGACTTCATGGTGTAACTTGCTGCTGGTCAATGTTAACTTTCAATATATCTGTTTCCTGTTTTTCCACAATGACGATGTGGGTATCTATGATACGGACATCATTCAGAAAGTTCATAAGTTGTTTCTGACTTCAGGTAAAGATACAGAAGGTATCTCATAACTTTATTTCCTTGTGCAGTTTGAATGCTAAAAGCTTGCTGTTTGTTTGTTTTTTGTCTTGTTGTTCTGAGGCAGTCATTTATAAGCACTTTATCTTTTTATTTCCTACAACACTACAAAGTGGTGATTTTAACATGACAACCTCATCTGTTGTAGATTTTTTTTAAGAAAACCTGGAGCAATCCCAATAAGCTTAAACACAAAGTTCCATTTTCTATAGCTAAAGCATGTAATGCAGTCTAGCTTGACAATAGGATTTCTGGAAATCCATGCTGGCAAAAAATCTTCCATTTCACCAGCACATACCATCAGTAATTAAGAGGTTAAGAGTACATTCTCAAGGTTCATGGTTCATACCGTACTTTTCATGACTGAGCCTATTGAGGTCTAAGAATGGATCTGATGTCAGCTTTCCCTTTCCTCCACAATGTGGCTGAGATGGATCTGAGTGAATTTGAGGGACTTATGTGCAGTCTGTCATTATTCTGATGTGATGCAGAGCTTTGACAGGTACTCCTGTATGAATCCAAACAGTGTCATTTATTTTCACATCTTATCAGAATTTACATTCTACTAATATTTTCGTGAATCAGGTGGAAAGAAATCATTGTTCAGAATGGTTGCTTAAATCTTGAATTGTGTTGTACAAAGAATTAAGACTTTGGATTTATTTCAGTTATCTAGATTTGGCAGATTTCTTCCCTTTTTTGTTTATTTATAACTCAATAATCCATAATAAATCTGGAAGATTGAAATAAAAAGCACACCACTTAATCATCACTCTAATGCTTCCTTCAGCATTGTGGGCAGACTGATATACAATGCTGAGTTAACAGGTTTCCAGTTTAAACCAATCATTAGTATCATGTCTGTTATTCATCTCCTTCTGCAGGATGATCTTTCTCCCTCTTCTCAGTGAAGAAAATTCACTTCACCATCTTCTCGTTAAGAGTCCACCATTGAAATGCTTTGGCTACTGGACTCTAATTACATATTTTATTCTCTACAGAAAGTTTTGCTGCCCAAATGTGTCAAGAAATATAAAAAATGGCCCATAGAAATTTGTATAACAGGATAAGTAGGAACCCAGATCTAAGTACACATATAAGTTGACATATCCACAAATATTCACTTCCTCCACCACCAATGCTCAGGATCAGCAGCATGTACCATCTACAAGATGCACTGCAGAAATTCCCCAAGACAGCACCTTCCAAACCCATGATCACTTCCATTTGGAAGGTCAAGGATAGAAGATACATGAGACATCACCACTTGCAAGTTCTCTTCCAGGCCATTCACCATCCAGACTTCACCGTTCCTAAAGTATTGCTGGGCAAAATCCAGGAATTCCCTCCCTAACAGCATTGTGGGTCTACCCACAATACCTGGACTTCAGAAATTCAAGAAGGTAGCTCACCACCAACTTCTCAAAGACAACTAGGGATGGCAATAAATGCTTGCAAAGCTAATAATGCGTACATCCCATGAATGAACAAAATATAACAACATGCCAGATTGTGGAAAAATGGGAACCTGCTAACAAGCTGACACTTCTAATTCCCATAACCATTTTTTGAGGAACCATTTCATTGGATGTTAGTAGACTATGTTAGGATCTTTATCAATAATGAAAAGCAGGAGATCAGTATTTCCTAACTATTATAGATATAGCCATTCAGTTCTTAGAAGCCATCCCCTTGTAAACAATTAGTGCTAAAGAGAGTTAACCCAGTTCTTTCCTCAAAATGGGTTAATAATGGAGATCCAGTCAGGCCAAGTTCAATTTTATGTCTAACATTTACCAGGAAGGTATGGGTAACCTGCATGTAATAGAATTAAAATCTTTAGCACAGGCTCCAGGAACTTTAGAAAGGTAATAATAAACCCTCAAAATGACATTGAGACATAAAATTATGAATATCCCCATACTTGGAAGAAAGGGCTGGAATTTCTTTGTTTAGCACTCTCAAGTCATCTCATTAGGCTTGCTGCAGTGTTCCAGCAAAGCTCAATGCAAGCTGGAAGAACCACACCTCATTTTCCGCTTGGGGACCCTGCAGTCCTCCAGACTGAATGTCGAGTTCAATAATTTTAGGGCCTTAACCTTCCCATGTCCTTGTCCCCTACCCCACACACCAGGCCTTGTGTTATCACATAGCCTGCTATTACACACTACCTATTGTTAATCACTAACAGTCACCATTAACAGCTATTTCACCCTCCCAGCTAGATTGTTCTTGACTCCTTTGTCTATCCAACTGCTCTTCTCTCTGTCTTTGGGCTCTATCCTATTGTTTACTCCCTACCCGATCCTCCTCCCTATTTTCTGCATGTAAACCAATGTTTTCCCAGCAACCATCAGCTCTGAGAAAGGGTCACTGAACCCGAAACGTTAACTCTGATATTTTCTTCACGGATGCTGTCAAACCTGCTGAGCTTTTCCAGCAACTTCTGTTTCTATTCCCAATTTACAGCATCCACAGTTCTTTCGATTTTTATTTGGTTCTGAAGAAAAATCACTGGGCTCAAAACATTAACGCTGTTTACTCTTCACAGATGCTGCAAGACTTCACGTTTCCCCAGAAATTTCCGTTTTTGTTTTTTTCAGATTTCCAGCATCTGCAGTTCTTTGTTTTATCTCAAAATTAACTGCATAGGCTGCGTG